GCGTCCGGAGTCGAACCGATGCCGCCCGTACCATTGCCGCTGCCCGGCGCGTTCTCCTCGCCAACGACGTGGCTGGTGGTGGGGACGTTGCTCCTTGTTTGCACCATTCTCGCGTTCGGGAGTTAACCTACGAGTATGTTCCTCTGCTCTCAATGAAAGCACCAATTTGATGGCTATAAACCACCGAGAGTATGAAATAATAGAAGTTTTAGAGAGAGAGAGAATGCAAAGTAGGAGTATATTGATTTCAAACTGGGGATCCATTACAATGAGGGGTGCCACCCCTTTTATAGGCGGTACAATTCACTAAGTCAAAGCCCTCTAATCAAGGCTCTTCGTTTAGCGGACGTCACCTATCCTTAGGTCTTGTCCCTTTCATCCTATCGCTTTCACCAAGTCTTTGTTGAACGTTGCTTTCCGCACGTCGTTGTCGCGGGGTTCGGGCTCGGCTTGGCTGGCCGAGCCGAGCAGGAGGGACGAGCGGAGCGCAGAGCCGGGCAGCAGGACGAGTGGAGCTCTGAGCCGAGCAGGAGGGACGAGCGGAGCGCAGAGCCGGGCAGCAGGACGAGTGGAGCTCTGAGCCGAGCAGGAGGGACGAGCCCGATGTCAGCCCTAGTGCTAGCATGGGGTTATTCCCCATCAGTCTACACTGTTAGATGCATATTAAGAATAATGTCTACAAACCATACTTCTTACCAACCCTGGTTTAATTTGGTCTTTAATATCCTACAGGTACAATAGGGAACACCAATGCCCTATTGATGTTCGGCAAGGCAACACACGTGAGGCTACTTATCACATCGTTGCAGAGTTAGTAAAACACAACTATTGTGATGCAACGACGAAGCCGTACCCTCCAAATTCTATTGTTACGGACATGCGGAGGGAACATGGGATCGCAATGACTTACAAGAAGGCATGGTTCGCTAAAGAGAAGGCATTGAAAATTTGCTTTGGGACACCCGAGGAATCATATGCTGCTTTGCCCTCAATGTGTTACATGCTCAAACAGGCTAATCCGGGGTCTTTGATCCAACTCACCACGACCCCAGATCACTTGTTCAAGTATCTTTTTATCTCACTCGCAGCTTGGAGAGAAGGTTGGCCCCATTGTGTCCCTGTCCTAATTATTGATGGGTCCTTTATGAAATCATATTATAAGAGGACACTTTTAACAGCAGTTGCACGTGATGGGAATAATCAGATTTTTCCACTAGCATTTGGCATATGCGACGCTGAAAACGATGCGAATTGGCACTGGTTTCTCTCAAGAGTAAAGCAAGCCCTCAAACACCGTCCAGTGGAGTATATAGTCTCGGACAGGCATGAAGGCATTATTAAGGCTGTGAAATCGGTTTTTCCAAAAGCGGGTCATGGCCATTGCATATTCCACATTCTCGGGAATATCAAGTCCAATTTTAATGGCTCCGAGAAGTCTTTATCCTGGAAATTTTATGCTGCCGCAAGGGTAGCTTCTGAAGTTGAATGTGAGCGATTTTTGAATTATCTCGGCAGTGATGACCCCAGGATCATTGGATACCTCAAAGCAATAGGCAAAGATAAGTGGGCAAGATCTTGCTCGAACAACCGTTATTTCATAATGACTTCCAACCTAGCCGATTCTATGAACAATGTTGATGTTGTCCCACGTGAATATCCGATTATACAACTGGTTGACTTTCTAGTGGGCAGGATGCAAGTTTGGTTCCACAAGCGTAGAGAATTGGCCAACGCAACCTCATCTATACTGACAAAGTTCTACGAGGCGGAACTTAAGGAACTACATGCGGCTTCAAGTGTTATGGAAGTAAGTAATTTTGAAATAAATTTCACACGCACCTACATTCTTGGTCATTATTTTTAATGATTAATAAGAATCATCACCCCCACTCTAAAAAATTTGAGAAATTCACCTAAATAGGACTAAAACATAATGACTTTCCCAATATAGGACCATATGTTTTTATTTCCCAATGTAAAAGTTTTGGTCTTTATCAAGTACTCATTATTCAAGTAAATGTCCATCATTACTGGACATTATTCCTCCGACTAGGTCATTATCAAGTCCTTTTTTAGGGAATAAATAAATTTGGGCTCTACCTTGAGAAAGTCATTATGTTTAGTCCTAATTGATGCAAAGTTTACTTTTTAACATCATTGCCTTACATTAATATGTGGTCATTATATTATTCACTATAATCACAATAACGACATCACACGTAATCCCTTAAAATGTGGTCATCACGTGTCATTACATGTAATGACTATTTTTGCAAAACCCAAGTCATTATACGAATTCTGCAAAATCTGGTCAACACGTGCTATTATACAAGTCATTATAAATACAACCCATTGTCTAAATTCCCCTCCATTCGGCTTTGTTTAATGTAACGCATAAACTACTTTCGCAGTCATTAAGAACCTAAACTCATGTCATTAATTTTTTGCAGGTTAGACCAGCTTGTGCATTTGAGTTCCTTGTCTTTGACAAGAACTGCCGGTCGTTTGTTGTGAATTTTCAGAATCGTACATGTACCTGCTGCGAATTCCAATTGGACCATTTTGTATGTGTTCATGCAGTCGCTGCTACTCGTTGTCGACATGGACTGTCGTGCTACGACTACATCTCATCATTCTACACCGCTGCTTCTTGGAGAGCTACGTATAGTGGAATCATACACCCAATGCCTTCCAAAGATTCGTGGGTTGTACCTGATGAGGTTGCTCAAACTATTTGCAGACCACCATCGTGCTTCAAACGACCTCCAGGGAGACCAAAAAAGCGAAGGATCCCGTTGAAAGGTGAACATGCGAAGCGGCAAACCTGCTCACGATGCAAATCATCAGGACATAATAGAAAAACTTGTGCAAATCCCATTTCCTCAAATCGCGTTTGACTCCCGTAGGAAGACATAAGGGAAGCACAACATTCCATGGAACCTTGGTCCAGCATGTCCATTAGTTTTGTCCCATTTCTGGTTCATTTTGTTTTTTACATGTTCAGGGATTCATTTTTGGTTCATTTAGTTTGTCTTATTTTATTTCTTTCTGATACTGAATTTGTCATTGGGAAACAATTCATTCCCCACCACCATAATCATTTCACACACAATAATGACTAAACAGGTCACAAGTGCAAAAAAATACACCATGTTTAGCACCCTGCGTAGCATCCTAAACAAACCAGATCCAAACATATACCACTAGAAAACCAC